CCCCTTGGGTATATCCAGCCGAAACAGCTTCCATGGATCGCCGTATCCATTACAGTGGCGTCAAATTTCCAACAGTGGCGTCAAATTTCCAACAGTGGCGTCAAATTTCCATGGAAGTCGCCTATACCCACGATGGGTGAAGAGGCGTAAAGTACAAGTACAAGTACAAGATTACAGGACCTCAATACCGCTATTTTAATATTTTTCTCCTATTCTGCCGAAGGTAAGTGGATAGATATAGAATTTTATTTTACTATTTCATATCTTCTTTTGGTTGTTTTTATAATTCTCACTTTTTATTTTAACATGTTATATAGGTTGGCTTTGATTATGGTAGTGCTGATTGTGAATCCTACAAAATGGTCACATTATTCAAATTTCCACTATTTAAAATGATATTTCTAGAGAAAATGTGGTAATTGATTCCAACTCAACAGAAATACGCAGTGAAAAATTCTAAATAGAAACTTTGATATGTTTATCTATGAAATATAACAGTAAAAGATTAAAAGCGTACTTACAACTTATATTTTTAATAAGTCACAGATATAGAAATATTTGTTATAGCTATAGAAAGAAAAAAAGAAAAAAAGGAAAAATTAAAAAAATATTCTTACCCATTTTCTATATATATAAAAAGATAGGACATTGATTTCATAATATTTAAGAAAAAAGAAGCTGGAAGATAAGTGCATATCCAAAGCACACCTGCTGATTTCTGTATTCTGCTTTAGCTTGTCCAAAATGACCCTCTCCTTTTTTTTAAAGTTTTCCTCCAAGTTTTCCTTCCTTCCTTTTTTTCCCCATTTTGCACATATGACAATTCACATCTAAAATGCCAGCAGAAACTGCACATGAACTAGCTTCAGCTGCATGCACAATAGCCCTCGCAATAACTGAATTTTGCCTCACAAAATGCAACCTGGAATCAACTTATAATTTCCATTAAGTCAAATACCCCACTAATCACAATCCACCTGCAGTAAGACTATCGTATACATCTTCACACTGGAAGAATATAGCTACTCCATCATTTTCCTGAATGGCTCAACTAAAATGGCTAGGTTTAACCAACAGCAATATAAGAATAAATAAAGAATAGAGGGGGAACAGGCCTTTCTCCTGCTGCATGGACATCATTCATCCTTACAGATGTTACTCAAATTGAAATAGCTTCAAGCATTATAAGTAGAGAAGCATTTCCCTGGGAGCTGGCAAGTGAACGCACTCCCACTGGACAGCTTTAAGCAGAGACTTCTAGGGAGTTGTGTGGACCTTTCAGCATTGCAGCTGTTGACAACTGCTGCTGCTGCCACTCATAATTCCCAGACGGTTAAGATATGAAGCAGCATAAGCTGAGTGATACTTCATCTGAAAACAGGCTAAGCACTCCATTCGCATTTGGAAACAAAGGCAAGAAAGACTTCTTACAAGGAGGGGGCATTGGAGGTTGAGCCTGACTTGAGGCTCTGCAGGTTAGGATTGGGCTAGAATGCTGCCAGAGGTTCCACATTCCTTCTATCTTGCTCCCCTTTCCATCTCTATCCTGTTCCAAATGTCGCAACAAATTAAGTTCAGAATTGGCAACCATCAATGCACTTAAATTTTACACTCAGTTGGATCAGCCCCATTCAGCAAATTCTGGATGCAACCAATCAAAATTTAGTTCACCTCCAAATAATGGTCATCTCCAAAATCATGGTCTGCTGCTTCTGAAGCAGTCAAGATAATTGACTTAATTTACATCATTCACATAGTTATGCAATTGAACTTATTCCATCACTTGCATTAACATATTGCATTAACTTTTGCAAATGACGTCAATTTTGAATTTCATTGTATGTGTATACTGCGTATATATGTACAATGACAATAAAGTAAAGTAAGTAATTTATCATTGGCATAGCATCATTTGTAAGTGTAACTTCATATAAATGATATAATTACCTCAATTACAGACATATATAGATTATGCAAATTACTTTGCATATATTCAAATCTAAAGATCTATTCCCCCCAACTGTTATCTGAAATCAAAGCTGTACTAAATCAATGCCATCAAAAGCAAAAAGAATTTGAGTGCTTGTTCTATCATCCATTATTAAGGTCACAATACCATTGTTCATATGAAACTGTAGGAAGGGGGGAAAAAATCTATCGGCTCAAATGGCACTATTTCAATCAGTGAAAATAGATACAAAATCTTACATATGGAGGAGCATATATATATACATATTTGAATTATCATACCTTTCCCAGTTTCGAACTGTTTGGAAAAAAATGTGTAAGGAAATTCCCATCCAGAAATCAAATTACAACCATGACACGGTTATTTAAGACCTCTCCATTAAACTAAGAACATTTAATATTTCATTAGTAACAGATATATTTAGACACTTATTTCTAATTGGAATTTTACCTTTGTGATATAATTTTTTCAAACACATTCCAGAGTGGTTTATGGCCCCCAAGACCTAAAGGGAAGAAAAGCAAAAAAACCAAGACATGAAAATCCTTCTATACACATCTAAAGTTGTGCTTGTGCCTATGTAACTAAGTGTGAGAGAAAGATCCACACTTTCTAACACAATCCTAGTCTCAATGTTTCAAATTATCCCAGGGGCTTTCTCAGTTTCCAACTTGACAGAGAATACTTGAAAATCTGCTACTGAGTCTTCAATTATTGCAGAGAACAGAATGCTTGAATTTTCTTGATTTGCTTAGTATATGGCTTGTTGTATCACACTTGTACTTAACTAATCTCACACAAACTGAAAATAGGATGTGTTTGGTTTTCCTTCTACAGCTTTTATACAGAGGAAAGGAAAGCATCACTGAGCAAGCCTATCCATTATATTTTTATCTAGAAATTTTAGGAAACTTTTGAGAAATCCCTTAACATCTAAACATAACATCTAAAAGAACCAACTTACTTTATGCCACTGTTGTATACTTTTTTATAAAATAAAAATACTGATTTTATAGTTTGATAGCATAATGAAAATAACAGTGTCCCCATACACACCTTGCGAGGACAAGAAGCGCAAAGCCGAGGTATACAACCCCATCAAATTTATATTTATGAAGTGAGTCAAATGCTGATGACAGGACATAGATCGGACCCTTGCATATTTCTTAAAAAGCAGCCTTCAAAACAAAGCTCTTTTGCTTTCAGTGGTGAATGGGAAACCTTGCCTAGGGCAGAAACGCAGCGTTTGGACCCTCTAGTTTATTCTTGAGCTTTCTTGCTAATTATCCAATTGTCTTGATCGAGATCTTGAATACAGAACTCAAGTCTCAAGAAGGAAAAGCTTGAAAAATTAAATACAAATTCCCCGAGAGGGAAAGACCGAGGCAGAACTCCGTTCGCTTTGGGGAAGAGCAAAGGACCCTGCTGGGACCACATTAGGAGGGAAGTTGCTAGGGGTCCCTGTCAGAGGCCCTGGGGAGGAGCGCGACAGGACGGGCTCCCGAGGCTCCCAGAGGAGACGGACTTTCGGCTTCTAGGGGGAAATGGGGGATGCAAGAACCCCACGAGTTAGACAATCCCACCCCCACCGACACACACATACATACACGCCTCCACCCACTCACCCTCACTCCGACCTCTTCTGCTCCAAACAAAGCGCAACCCCTTCCGGTCACTTCCCCCTCCCTCTTGCCGCTGCCGGCGGAAGTACTCTATGCTTCCTTCTCCAGCCGGGCCGTCGACCGAAATTCCCGGCTGTCAAGGTTGCCACAGCGACCGCGAGTCTCTCTTCTCTCGCTACCGCCCGGTTACTTGAGGTACATTCGACCGGAGTCGCCAGCCAAGGGCGGCGAGAAACCCAACATCGACGGCCTCCGTATTTTTTCGTGGCGGAAAACCTCTACGCGTAAAGCTCTGGCGGCGGATCTTGTTTGCTGCTGCTCGATCACGGTCTTCTTACTCTCGCTTTTTGCCAGCGACCAAATCCAACCAGGGCAGAGCGTCGTTATTGCGACGTCATCATGATCATCGCGGAAGGACAAGCACGCGGGGTGGAGGGCGACTTTTATAAAATGGGGAAAAGACGAACGTCCAGTATTCCTATGAGCTTTTATAAAATCCTATCTGGGGTCAGCCATCGTTGTCTAGAACAGTGTTTTTCAATCTTTTTTGTGCAAAGGCACACTTTTTTCATGAAAAAAATCACGAGGCACACCATTAGAAAATGTTAAAAAAAATT